ATCAGCTTTCTTATTATTAACCTTTGATTAATAGAACTGATCAATGACGATTAATTAAGATGTTTTACCTTAAGTGCCAAAGATTAGCCAATCTTCGATAACGTCAAAAAGAAAAAAGGCAGAGTATATATAAGTACACCCAAAGAAAATTGTTCTGACACAATTTCTCAATAAGGATTATAGTAATCACAATCTGAAAATATGTCTTTTATCACTATAGCACTATAGTTTTTACTTGCTGGAGATGCAAACCTCTCACTTTAATTTAACAAGGATGTAATGACATTAGTTTTACGCATCAAGGATTTCTTTCTAAAGTAAAACAATTCTCGCAGATTATTATTTTTGTCGCTTTAATGAATATATATGGGAAATTGCAAAAATGCTATTTTTTATGTATATATTTGCAAAAATGTTACTTAGGGTGTTCATCATTAATTATAAATTTTTAAACCCTATATCTTAAAATTCTAAACACTAAAAAATGTTTTGACACCTAAACCCTCATAACTAAACTCTAATAGAACATAATTAACCCAAACATAAATAATATAAAAAATTTTTTTTTTTGAAAAAGTGGTATTTTTGTAAAGATTTCAAAAATATGACATTTTTGTAAAGTGGCATTTGAAAAATGACATTTTTTGAAAATTTTCAATATATATATATATATATTTTTTTTTTTTGAAATTTGATTAGAATCCATGTTATAGAATATAGATAATATATATGAGTATCTCCTGATTTCAATACTTACTGTGCTTAAGAAGTTGGACAATTCCACACACCTCGCTCTCATTTTACCTACTATACTCCACTTTCGTTGTTGTTTTTCTTCTTTTGCTAACACTCCATTTTCATTTTGTTTTAAGAATATCAACTATTATATTGGTATTCAAATTCAGTGTTTATTTGAAAAATGATAATTTACGTTTGTGGATTTGCCACAAGTGTCACTAAACATTGGTTCTACTTGCATTCCCTAATTATAAGCTGTAAATATACACATCTGATTTAGAGTATTGGTTAATTTTAAGAAAAAAACTCAAATATCAGATCTAAATGGTTAAAAAACTAAGTACAAGAATTTTATATTGTATATAAGACTATAAATAAACTGAGAAAGTTTACATTCCCGAAAATTATAGGCAGGTGTAGAGATATGCTATACTCATGATCTATTCATTTTTAATTGGTTTTCGTTTGAAATTACGAGTTTCAGCCTTCTATATTAAAAACTAGGGATTGTTTAAAAATTAATATGGTAAAAATTAACATTAATAATTTTTAGTTAGTGATTTTTTGTATATTTAAACAAATTT